TTTCGGTGCTTTGAATGTAGCCTAGTTTCCTGAGATGCAAATCAGTTCTAAAGTGCCCTGCCTGGCTGCGGGCCAGCATCATGGCCAGGAACCCGGGGCCTAATCTGGTTGTTTGGTTTTTTTTTTTTTCCTTTCTACAGAGAAAGTTCACTTTAAGTCATGGATGGTCCAGGTCAGTGCCCAGCTTCTTTCTGCCGCTCTTCCCCTCTCTGCTGCCTGTTCTCACGCCCTGCTGTGCCCGACTTGAGGCGACGGGGAGGGATTTGCCAGCCCCCTGCCCCTGGGGCCTTCCGGACAGGGAGCTGGCCAAAGCGGGAAAGATTCAGCGACGCGAGCGCGTTCACCTCCGAGGTGTGTGTTCCGTTCCAATCGCCGTGCGACGCCTGCCGGCCGCGGGGCAGTTTGGGGGACACGAGTGCAGGTGCTTCCGAGAGACGGTGATGTCTGACAGGCACCTGACCCGGCAGCGGCTGTGCGTCCGCGGAGGACCTGCACGTGGCCCGTCTCTCCCGGGGCCTCCGGGACTCGGCCCCTCGCCTTCGCTCCGGCCACAGGTCCCCGGAGGCAGGGCCGCGCTTGGCCACCTCCTGGCTTCCTCAGCAGACGCCTCAGCGGCGCCCGCCCACTAGCACGGCTCCCTCGAGGGTCGAGGCGGAAAGGAAAGCTCCAGCCCTCCTCTTAGGAAACGAACCGTCTCCTTCTGGCGAGCCGCCGCTCGTCTCCGTGACTTACGCCTGATGTGTTTTGTTTTAGCACCAAAAGAGATACAGCTCAGAGGAGTACCAGCGCAGGCTGCAGACCTTTGTCGGCAACCGGAGGAGGATAAGCGCCCACAACGCTGGGAACCACACCTTCAAAAGTACCGCGGGGCCGCCTTCCCGCCAGGCTCCCGGGGCCGCGTCTCAGGGCCGGACACGCGCGCGCTAGGGGCGCCCGAGGGTGGAAGGCGCGCCGGGAGTTAGGGTGCGGGCACGTCCCGAGCCCGGCTCTGCAGCTGTATTTAGCGGACCCCGGATTCCGGCTCTGCTGGGCTCCGAGAGTCTCTGTGATGCAGGACGGTACCGGGCCCCCCCGCGGGTCGTGAGGTCTATAGGAGACCGTGTCGGAGCCCTGCCCTCCCTTGCCCGCTCCTGCCCGCCGAGGGTCCGTCCCGATGCTGAGCCCTGCCCTTGGAGTGCTGGCCAGCGGCCCCCCCTTCGGTGCTCTGCACTCAGGAGCAGCCTCTAGGGACGTCCGCCTTCCCTCCGGGGTGGCGTCACGAGAAGTCACTAGAAGCACGTGCACACGGCATATCCAGGGCCTCAGAAACCACGGCAGGGCCAGCTGACCGTAGTGTGGGCAGCAGGCGTAATGCGGGAAAGCTGGGCGTGGCTCTGGTTTCTGCCCACACTGGCCGTGCTGTCCTGGGGGAGCTCGTCGATGCCTCTGATGCTTCACTGGGCTGTGGGGGAGATGGGAGTGCTCCCCGCCCCGTGCGGCGGTGACGGCCGGTGAAAGGCTCTTCGCCTGGACGGCCATCGGGCTCTCCGGCCGGGTGTCAGGCGCTGGGTGCCCAGGCCCCCCCCACACACACACACACTAACCGCACCCACATCCCTGCCACGCAGCCCACGCGCGCACAGCTGAGACGCTCCCCGGGCGGTTCGGAGGCACAGGCACGCCTGACCTTGGCGTGTTAGGTCACGTCACGTTCAGAACACGTGAGGGCACCGGCTGCTGCAGACTTGGGACGCAGGTTAACGTGGTTCTCTTTGTCTTTTCTGTTTCTTAGTGGCTTAGGAGCCCCTCTTTCTTTGGGTTTTTTGTTTTTCCTTCTCTTTTTCAGTGGGACTGAACCAGTTTTCGGACATGAGCTTTGCCGAAATAAAACACAAGTATCTTTGGTCGGAGCCTCAGGTAGGTGTTGTGTGTTGTCACCAGATGGGACTCCTTCCGCTCAGACCTTTGCCCTCCTTTCCCAGCAGAGCCCGCCCCACCCCCTCACCGGGGTTCTCGGGGAGTCAGAGAGGCCGCTCGGAGCAGTTCCTCCGTCCACACCTGTGGCCTCAGCCTTGTGGACCCCAGACTTAGGGTTGCCCCAGAAAATACAGATGCGCAGTTAAAACTCAATTTCATGCAAACGGCACGTAACTTTTTGGTGTAAATATGGCATAAACGTGCACGGGGCGTACTTAGGCTGAATAACAGACTTATTCACCGTTCACGTCAGGTTCAAATTTAACTGCAGGAACTGCATTTTTATTTGCCGGACCTGGTTCTCCGGCCGGGGCTCTGAAAGGCACGCGTCTGTTAGCGTTTGGACCCAGTCGCTGGGGGCGGGATGTTTCTTTCTCCTTCTCTGTCGGTGATTCTGTTTTAACTGCACGCTTTTCCCCTGAAAACATTGTGTTTGGCTGTTGCAGAACTGCTCAGCCACCAGAGGTAACTACCTGCGGGGCACTGGTCCCTACCCACCGTTTGTGGACTGGCGCACAAAGGGGAAATATGTCTCGCCAGTGAAAAATCAGGTATGCGCGGCACCCCCCCTTCCCCTCCAAATCGCCACATTCGCAGACAGTATTCCCAGAAGAACCCAGAGCATGGCAGGTGTCCCCAGATCTGTGTGTGTCCCCCGTCCCCCCGCCTCTGGGAGGCTGTGAGGTGATGCTGGGGGCTGCTCTGGAGGGAGACAAAGTCCCTCCTTGTTAGACTGAAGCTCGGCTGTGCCCCCCACGCCCAGGGTTCCCCATGCGTCCCAGGTCTCCTATAAAGTCCCTCTGAACATCGTATTCTCTGCGCCCTTCGGAGACGGGACCCCGGGACCCCGTTCCTGCCACCCCATGTCGTTTCTTCCCACCCTCCATCCGCCCAGCGAGGCCTGGCTGGCCTCTCCCGCTGGGTGGCTGCTGGCGGTCAGTTCGCGGCGTGGAGCCCGCCCACCAGGCACGCTCTGGCCGGCCGCCCCCTGCAGTGGCCTGGCCTCCTGCCCTCACAAAGCTGTGAGGCAGCCGGCCGTGTTCTGGGGAGTCTGCCCCTGCCCCCTGCTGTCCCCTCTGCCCACGATGTCCCTCCCTCGGAAGTCACAGTGCAGCGGCCTCCGCTGGCCTTCTCCAGAACGACACCATCCCCTCACCTCCAGAGAGTATGAGGGGAAGTCCCCACCCCCCGAGGAACACTGGCCTTCCATCGAGACTCTCGCTGAGAAACATTTTCTCCTTGTCCGTGATAAGGTCTTCTTGACCGGACGGGGTCCTCCCCGAACGGAGGGAGGAAGAGGCCAGCAGGAAGGCCCTCTGCGGGACGGCGGGGCCGGAGGACTGACCCCTGGGCGGTGAGGGGTGATGAGAGGGGCGCTCAGGGGCCGACCAGTCAGGGAGGAAGGGGCATGAGGCCTGAGCCACAGGACCCTGTCTGCGCCTCTAACAGCCCCGCGAGGCAGGCGCACCGGCCCCGTTATACAGTTGACGGGATGGAGGTGACCCCCGGCTGGCACGGCGGTGACACACAGGCAGCCAAGCTGTGGCGCCTGACCCGCATGGCGCCCCGAGGCGGGCCGTGACTGTGGCAGGTGGGCGAGGTGGGGTGGGACCATCTGGGCCCCGATGGAGGTCAGGGCCGACACAGGGTTTGGGGAGTTGTTAGTTTGCTCGTGAGGACAGTGGGTGGAGTGAGGTCGGAGGTGGAGAGGTGACAGAGAAGGTTCTGGAAACAAGACCTGGGCGAGTCCTGCTGAGAAACCATGGGGAGTGGAGGAGGAGCGTAAGATTCAGAAGGAGGAGGAAATCCAGAGACGGGGGCTCCGGCCCTCGCGGGGCTGTGGGGCCTGGTCAGCGAGGGGCCGGGGCTACGAGGCACCCACGGCTGGCAGCCGCTCCTGCTCCTCTGCAGGCCTCGGGCACCCCACCTGGAACAGGAGGGACCCCGCAAGGGTCCGAGGGCACGGGAGCCTGCCTCCTGGGGTCCCTGTGACTGACCCCCGCCCCGGCCTCTCTAGGGCGGCTGCGGCAGTTGCTGGACCTTCTCCACCACGGGGGCCCTGGAGTCCGCCATCGCCATCAAAACCGGGAAACTGCTGTCTTTGGTAAGCAGCCCGCCCCTGGGGCCACCCACGGAGGTCGTGGCTTGGCCCCAGGGCCTGGCAGGAGGGCCAGGTGGGCCTTCAGGCTCCTTCGGGGCTCGGTGGCGATGCTGCCCCAGCTGGCACCGGGCCCCCAGCCTTGTGGACGTTCGGCCTGGGAGTCTCCACGGACATTTTGCCGGAAAGCAATGAGGTTTCCCCGGGACACAGCCAAGGGCCCGTTCCGGGTGGTGCCCAGGCGGCGCTGGTCTTGGCGGCCTGAGGGGACTTCGGGAAGCGGCGCCTGCGGGGTGGGGCACGTCTGGGGGCCCTGCTCTTCCGACTGCCGCGGCTGTCAACAGGAGGCAAGAGCGGGGCCCGTGTGTGCGACTGCTGACCCCGTGACCCCAGGGCAAGGGGGGCGAGGGGCAGGGCCCGGAGGGCGGAGCAGGGTCTCCAGTGGGGCCTGCCACCGTGGGCACACGAGCCTCGCCGTGCACACCCACGGGCAGCACCCAGCGGCCACCCGCCCTCGCCCGCCGGCCCTGGCCTGCCCCCGCACACCTGCTGTCCCCACCCTGGGTGCTTGTAACCGGCCTTGACACAGTGCCGATGAGGCCACAGGGGTGTGCGCCAGCCCTCGCTCACCGCGCTCGCTCACCGCGCTCGCCCCTTCCTGCAGGCGGAACAGCAGCTGGTCGACTGTGCCCAGAACTTCAACAATCATGGCTGCCAAGGGTGCGTCCCTGCCCGGGGGCCCAGAGCCCCCCTCGTTTCCCACGACCGCTTCTGTTGGGTCAGCGGTGGGAGGAGAGTCGTCCCGGCTTCATGGAGGGGACGGTCCTATGCCCGAGGTCCCTTAGCCGGAATTCGGCAGAGCTGGGATCCAAGCCCAGGCCTGTCTGGTTCCACCGTCCGCCCTCTTTCCGTGGCTGTGGCTGAGGGGTCCCTGGG